TATGATGAGGCAGCCATGGCCATTGCCAGCCTCAACGGGTACCGCCTGGGAGACAGAGTGTTACAAGTTTCCTTTAAAACCAACAAAGCCCACAAGTCCTGAATTTCCCATTCTTATTTACTAAAATATATATATAAATATATACGAACAAAACACACGCGTGCACACACACACATACACAAAAGAGAGAGAAACAAACTTTTCAAGGCTTATATTCAACCATGGACTTTATAAGCCAGTGTTGCCTAAGTATTAAAACATTGGATTATCCTGAGGTGTACCAGGAAAGGATTTTATAATGCTTAGAAAAAAAAGAAAAAAAAAACAAAAAACAAAAAAATACCTTTGATGCATTGAATGTTCTTTCATAGCTGTCGTTGTTGAATATAATATACATAGATAGCGATGTGCAGGGATTTTTACCCAGCCAGCTAACTTTACTACCTTCCTTGAAGGTGGGTCTTTTTAAGATGACCATTCGCTCATTTGAAGAAGAAAAACAAAAAACAAAAAAAATAATAAAAATAAAACAATTTTTACAAAGTAATGGGATTCAAAGAAAGGAAAAAAAGATTTTTCTTTTTTGTCAAAATGTTGATCCAATCAGATTGGTAAAAACCCCCACACAAATTAAAGAGGAATAATAAAAATTGCAAAAATAAAAAAAAAATTTGCAAATTTTTTTATTTTTCCTTTTTTCTTTTATATCATGTGAACTAAAACAGTCTTCTGTTAGGGGATGGGGGCAAGGGGGATACCTGATGACATTAACAATTTAATAACATTAACATTGTTGCCAAAGAGGTGGTCTCTTTGCTGAAAATGGGTTTCAAGAAAAATCTATTTTTATAAAATATAAAGAATTTTTACAAGAGAATCTGGATTTGAGAAAAAAATATTTTGACTGGCTAATTTAGGGGAAATTGACAACTTTGTCGCGTTCATACTGCACTGGTAACTTTTTAGAGATCAAGATGTGTGTTTTAAACTGGATTCGTAGACTGTTTTTTGAAGGATGGGCTATAAACAGATGATCTTCATATCTTTTCATAGCATGTAATAATAATTAAAAAACAATTATTAATTACTAGGGGAAAGGAGTGTTCGTTCTACCCAGGGTACCACAGTTCCCCACAGTCAAAACCCAAAAGCAAGGAGATGAGTTGAAAGACAGTTTTTCTTTAAGTCATCAGTATGGGATGTCAGCAGAACAAAAATTAAAAAGATTAATTTTCCTTTTGATCTAAAACTTCCTTAGTTTGAGCAGTAGGTGCTACAAAATTATTTACATATCTTAGTATCATAGTTAAATGTAATGTGTTTAGGAGAGGAAAACAAAAGATACATTTGCTTTAAATTCATTAAGAAATTTTCAAATTCACTTTGTAGCCCATGCTGATAGAATTGGGCTGTGTTGGTACATTTGAAACACTGTTTATGTTGCTTGAAACACTTATTTATTTAATCGCAGATGTGATGATGCCTATGGCCGAGATCAAATATAGCTAGATTGGCTAGACTACTTATTTGTTTACTTAAACTATGGGAAGAAGCATATTATTGTGTCATTCTGTTGTGTGTGTATGTGTATATACAATATAAATATATATATATAAAGTTATTTTTTCTTTGGGTTAATTTATTATAAGTTGTAACACTTGGCTAGTTTTGTTTGTATATGTCTTAAAATGTTTTCTTATGATATTTAAGTGACAGTTAAAGAGGTATCAAGGTAACTTGTGTAGAACTATTGTTTGATATATTGTCATGTTTGTTGTGAATATTTTTTCTTACTGCACAGTAGAAAAATAAAAACAACTGAGTCTTTATTTTAATGTAACTCAGATTGGGGAAAACAAAACAGAGCTAAGGGAACAAAATGACTGAGGGAGCACCCTCCCACGTCCAGTGCACTGATCATTTTAGTATGTTTGTGCTTTGTACGGTTATATATTTAAAACAAAAACAAAACAAAAAAATACAAGGGTTCATGCTCTTCCCTGGGTAATAGAAACAGTTACTCGCTATGCATAATCTAGTTGATAGTTAAATTTGCTATTGCTTTTCTTGTCTTGTTATATAAAATCTTTTCAATACAAGTTTAGTCTTAATGGTAATAAAACGTTATGGTTATTTATAACTTGTGCTTATTTTGTGCATTTTTTCCCATGCTGAACCCACTAAGTGCATGTAGACAGGACTGTTGTTTTCACACTGAAGAGGCAAACTTTGTAGTAGTCGTTGTAGTGGTAGACAGATAACGAATACCAAGGCTGCATCATAGACTCCTCCTTTAAATTTTTTTTCTGTTTTTTTTTCCTCTTTTTGGTTTTGGATATAACACCAGATTTCAGTTCAGAGAACACTCGTTCAACATTCAGGAAAATCTTTTAACGTCACCTGCTATGAATGAACGCAGTTTGCTGGCAAAGTTTTGATGCATTTGCTAAGCATTAGTGGGAAAGGCATGCCAAAATCTTCTCTATAATGTGTTCAATCTTGGGGGAAAAAAAAAGGAAAAAAAATCTTAGGACCAGGCAGTTGTATACTTTAGTTATTAATGAATGACTTCATGTTAATCTTGCTAGTTTAGATGATTTCCAAGGGAAAGTATTGTAATTGTTTTTTTTTTTTCATAATCTTGTTGTGTTTGAATTATTTGTACTTTATCTGTCCAGACAATAAATGAAAGTGTGTAGAATGGATTTGACTTCCCAAATTTTTAAATGTGTTTATTCAAACTTTTTATATGTACCATCTTCAGATTTCCCCAATATTTTTATCATTAAACCAGGGAAAAAAAAAGGCAGAGTAAAATTCTATTTTGCAACTTAGCTCAGTCTCTTAAAATCAGTTCAATATTCAGAAGTCATTGTTCTGGTTCCATACTATTAAAAGTGTGGTGGTCCCCAGCCAGCAGTATCAACATCATCTGTAAGCTTGTTAGAAATGTAGACTCTGCATTTAACCAGATCCCCAGGTGAATGAATCACTGGTACTTTCAAGTTTGAGGAGCATTGCCCTGGTGGCTAAATCAGAACACTTGGCCTTACCTTTGGTGTTGATACATCAGCATCTGTTATTCATTTATAAGAAGGCTTGTGACTTGTTCAGAGGACAGGGAACCACCATTTGCAGAGCATCTATTGTGTAACGAACAGGTGGTATGGTATGGTATTCCCTACATTCTCACTTTATTCTCAGCAACCCAAGGGGTATAGACAACATTATCCTCATTTCACAGACGACAAAACTGAGGCGCAATAAGAATAGTAACTTGACACCACAAGGAAATTTCCAGCTGGGATTTGAATCCAAGTCTGATTCTACTGCACAACACCTCAGCATTGAGGTTGCAGAACTTGAGCAATATTAAGAAAGCAGACCATTTGCATTGAAAGTGACAGCCAAGAAAGAAAGGTCACTTTATTTTTGTTTAAAAGTAGCAAATATTTGGCTTTCTTACCTTTGAATAGAAAGTCTAAACAAGGAATTACTCATTATGTGTCTAAAGAATAGGATTTAAGCTCAACCTAGGGAGAGAAAAACTGCCTACATTATCATGAAGTCACTTTAAAATATGCCCTGAACTTTACAGATTAGCTTTTTAGTGATTTCCTGATACAATCACTCATTGATGATCTACTGTCTTTCATTTTCATTTTCTCACTAACTGAAAATTCATACTCTGTGAAACATTGCCATCCATAAACTGACACTTCATGAAATGTCCCCACTGAGCCAGATGAACAAATAGTCTGATTCTCTTCTATTTCTAATTAACCTCTTTTTTATTATTATATTAAGTTACTACATTGGTTGGAATAATTAAATTCAGGGCAAAGAATGGGATTTAATTAATCAAACTAAATATTAAACCTCTAAGTCAGCCTGAACCTCATATAGTTGAACTTAAAGGTTCTTTTTATAGTTTTATCTTAAAGACAGCCCCTATGTTTCTTTTCTGGAGAATAAAAAAGGGGCATTCAAAAGAATAGTTTCCCACAGGGATAACACAGCTTCACAACCGTGTTTGTAGGTCTAAAAACGTTGCTGCCAAACCTATGATAGTTGCCAGTCATCACCACCCCTGCTCCTTAAAGGTGTCATTTTAGTGTACTTTAAATGGACAGCTGCTTTTTTGGGGGGATATCCAAAGTTGGTACAGTGTTCCCAGTTCATATAGTTCATTCACCTGCCTCCTACAGATCTATGCTGAAAGTTTTACAAATAGATGTAGGTATTTAAAGAGGTCTTGAAAATATCCGTGGAAGACATTCTACATATACTGTTTCAGAAACACTTTCCAGCATCAGCACAATGTGTCTGCCTAACATCTAATAAAAATTCATCTTGTTGCGAGTATAAGCCTGTTACCTTAAATCTCCAGGCAAACATATATAGTTTCTGTAGGTGTTTGTGGAAAAGGTCTAACAAATCACAAGAATACTGACATTATTAAATTTCTTTGAGGTCCTAGGTACGTTATATTTTGCTTGGATGAAAAATTGCACGTCATAGAAAGCTGATGGCATTTACTTAGTGTTATTTCTGTCGTGATAGGAGGAGTGCAAAAAAAAATGTGCTTGTATCTAAAACCACCCCACATCATCACCATCCACATCAAAACTTCTTACTTCTATTACCGAAGATCAAACACTGACCAAATGATGGTTACTGCCAGAAATTTAAATGTCTTTCATCAAGATCAATCATCCTTTGCTCATTTGTAAATAAAACATTTTAACCCCCAAAGAATAACATTTAAATGTACATTTGAAACTCACAAGGTCTTGTGGGGCCCATATTCTCCTTGAGTCAGTATTTGGGTGTGGATGCTTTTAACCTTGTTAAAATGCAGCACATAATTGCCTTTACCATAAGGTAATTCCAGAAACTCTCAGTCCTTGAAATTATTTTGCCCTTACTTCCTGTAGGCACTATGCATTTCTTCCTTAACAGACACATACATGCAAACACACAGAGGCAAGTGTTTGTGCAAGTATGAATTTTTTTTAACTTTCACCTGTGAATTAAAAAATGACACCTGATAATATAGCATTAACCACAAGAGTGTGCTTTCTAAAGCAAAGAGTCATTAAAATCTTAATTTGAGGCCATCTTGCCTGGATACTTCCACAGCGTTCATGAAAGCTCACAGAACAGAGTTCTAATATCCTTGCACCCTTCACTGCCTTTGTTCTACCTGAAGAAGAGAATAATAAAAGGAAATTACATTTTATTTCCATGAGCTGAAATCAAGTTTTAATATTGTCCAAAAATGACTAGTACCATTCCCTTATCTTATTAGCTTTTTGGCATATTAGGTAATAAGATAATTTCTCATGGTACAGTATTTATGTAAGAATCATATTTCTCTCTGTGCAGATCACTTACTGAAGTGTCTGTTAACAGGAGAGAATGATACATAATCGGCACTTAAGATTAAAATAGACCTGAGAGCATAAAAGTGTTCCTTCAATTAAAGGAATAGTGTTTCTCCAGTCTCGTCCTTTTTGTTTCGGCAGCAGAATGAAAACTGGCTTAAAATCTCCCAACCCCAGGTTAATTCCCAGAAGGTTTTTCTATGCAAGTTCAGCTTAATCTACTAGTGGTTCAAATGCAAAGTGGACGCATATGACATTCCAGTATGCCATGTAATTATTTCAAACAGTTTTCAGCAAAGTCCTTAAGGTTTAAGAAATTGTTTCTAGAAAGAGCACTGGCATTTAAGTTTTTCCTATGCCAGGCACTCTATATGTATATAGTCTTAGTGAGGGGTATCATTCCCCATTTACATTGGACAAAAAGAAACTCAGAGAGATTAGGTATTTTGTGAAAGTGAGTAAGTAGGTGGTAAAGCCAGAATTCAAACCCAGGTCTATCTGATCCCCAAGATCCCCAGTTATATACCCTGGCTCCAAGTCAATTATGTTAGAATTAGATCCAAAACAATTACCAAGTGGTCCACACCTCAACTAAAGATGAGACAAGTCCTATTATATAAGAAATAAAGGAAATTATATTAATGTACTGTGCCTGAGTCTAACCCTCTCCCCAAATCTTTAATGGAAAAACAAACCAAACAACACTGGTTTATAAGCAAATTAACAAAGGAAAACTAAAAGTCATAGTTTCTCAGCACTGTTGCTCAGCAGTATTTAAACATGAAATTAGTTTCTTAATAGGTCTATTTTAACCACCAAAAGTCATTGAGGTAGAAAGGAGTTGAGGATAGGACAGACAGGTAAGAATGTTAACAAGCCAACTTAAGGACCCTCAGAGCTGGCCCCATGGGTCTCCCCAGGTGATAGGACCCACTGTGGTCCGCAGATGGGTCCACTGTGCTGTGTGGACCAACAGCACCATAGTGGCCACTCCTTTCGCTATCTGTATTGCCTCTGAATCCTAAGGACAATCCTGGGAGGCACATAACATAATCCCCATTTTACATCTGACAAAAACGGAGAAGTTAAATACCTTGCCCAAAGTTGCACAGCATGTTGCAGGGTGGGAATTTGCACAAAAGTCTTCAGGTTCCGATCCAATGTCTTTCTACTAAACCATATTGATGGCTTTCAATGTGACAACATTTGTTGATTATCTACCTAGGTGTTGAGGTATGGCAGGGTGGGGGTCGAGGAAATCAGCCTAAACTGTGTCTACACTAGAACCCTTACTCTGAACAGCTGCCATATGCCAGATACTCAGCTAGGGGTATGATAAATAAACATGTCTAGGGTGGTTTTTTTGTTTTTTTTTTTTGTTTTTTTTTTTTGTAACCTGTTTTGTGCATGAAATTGTGTAACAGAAAACCAAAAAAACAAGAGAGGAAATTTAGAGTTCTATTACAAAGACAAGACCTGTGGGACAATCTTCTAGCCACAGAATAGCTTCTGCATTGGAGGGAGAATTTCAGGAGACTTTTAAAATCTGTGGGGAGTAGAAGGAGTATTCTGGGACCCAGGAAGGAAGGAGAGTTTGCCCTGATGGAAAGAGGACTAGCTCTACTGAAAAAGTTCTGGATTTGGGTCCCAGGGGAAAAAATTTAATGTCTCTGAGATTCCTGATCAGAGAAGGAAGGATTAGAAGTAAATATGCCAATTTCCTGGCAATGAATGAAGAGTAGCAGGAATTAAACAATAGCCAGAATGAGTAGAAGAACACTTGGGCCAGGCCCTTCGGCAGGGAGAGGTGGGTTTGGTGGATGCCCCTGGATGCAAAGAACCAAGAAATCCTGTTTGGTCACTTCAAGTGAGGGAGGGAAGAAATAGTAGGAATACATGTGGAAATAAGTTGCTGGGAATCTCACTTGGCCTCATGGAACTTAAGCTGCTTTTGAAATATAGTAACTCCAGCCACTTACCAGAATCTCTGATTGCCCTCAGCAACCCGAGACCCCATTGGTCCCTCCTCTGGTGTCTGGCCATTACTGTGTCAGCCACTCCATCTCATTCACTCCTGATAATTAGACTGCTGTGAGCATCATGAAAAAGTCACAGGGATTTTGCCTCAGGGTAAAGGGGTGGAGGATACACTAAGGAGCTTAGGCGGGCAATAGTGGGAAGGGAGAGCACAGGAATAAAAGGAAAAGGGTTGGTTATGCAGGCTGAGCCAGGGAACATCTTTAGGAAAACAGAGGATCAGAAGGCTTTTGAGCAGGGAAGTGAGGGCCCTGGGTTCATAAGTAAATATCTGGTAAAGGGCAAATATCTCTAAGCCCTACTCCTCTTGGCTGTAGGAACAAGAAAGAATCAAAAGTTCTGTCTCAGCCAAGATGGGAAATGAATCCAATTAAACCATTTGTAAAGGGTAGTCCTCTCTTGCTTGTCACACAATCAGCCTTGTCATTGCCTGGTTACTTAGCTCTGGAAAGCCCTTGGAAGTCAGTTCAACTCCCTCAGAAGTCAATGGAATCCCTGAGAGATTTAAAAGGGCTTTGGGTTGTCCAGCCTCTACGTCACTCCATGTAACTAGTTATCATCTTATTCCACAAATATTAGGGTTCCTCTCCTTAAAATGCCCTTTCCTCCACCCCAAACCCACGTTTTTCTCAAAGCATGCATGTACCACCCACCTGCTTGTTCAGCTCAGGATTCACTGCCCCCTGGAAACCCTTCTTGACCTTGGCTGGATTAAGGATTCCTTGACATCCCTCTGTTTTCCTGTATCACAGCACACTCACATTCCATATCTGTACTGCTGCATGCAGCCTCCATGGGGACAGAGGAATCTGGCATGGTTCCTGCCTTGGAAAAGCTCAGGTGTAAGCAGAGCATAGAAGGGCAAGAGCAAATCTGCAGGGCGTTTGGGGAGCACAGAGAAAAGAGCAGTTAATTCTAACTTTGTTGGGTGAGGTGAGGTTGAGCTGTAATAAGAAAGGCATCCTAGACATGTTTGGGACTTAGCTGTCTCATGGAAGATAGAGCAGACTTGGACAGGTAGCATTGGAGTGAGGCAAAGGGCATCCCACTGGGAATAATGGAAGTGATCCAGGACCAGGATTCAGAGTCGTCTGCTTTGCCCCTGATTTGTTGTGTAATATTGGGCAAGTCACTGGTCCTCTCAATTTCACAGAAGTTAAAGGAAGGTGTGAGACTAGATGGTTTCTGATGGTCTTGCTCCTGCTGACTCCTAGACATTCATCTGCCCCTACATTTTTCATAGGGTCAGCAAATATTTGTATCACTGAGGAAACAATGAGAGGATGAAAAAGATGGCTATATACAGCTGGGGTGAGTGCTGTCAAGATCAAGTGCAGGATGTTCTGACAATGAGCAACAGCACCTGCCTGGCTGAGGAGGAGGAACACCCTTTCTCAGACTGTGGCATTTGAGCCGAGACCTGAAGAATGAGGACCATGTGTCCCATCCCAGGCCAGGGGAACAGCACGGGCAAAGGGCCAGAGTGGAGGGGAGCGATGTTTCAGCTGAGGGGCTGAGAGGAACTCAGTGACTCAGCAGTGGAAAGGGGAATGGGGCTGGGGCAGGAGTGGTAGCAGGGACCAGGTTATCAAGAATATTACAAGCCACAGAAAGGACTTTGATCCTTACGAGTAATGGGAAGGGCCTACATTTTAACGAATGGGTTCTCTTCTCTCAACCTCAGTTTACTCATTTTGATGAGTAAACCCCTCTCATAAATCTATATCTAACCTATATATTTATATCTGTCAATCTGTCATCTCTATTGATTCTGTTTCTCTGGAGAACCTTGACTATTACACTCATCTGTAAAATAGAGATGACCGATAACAGTACTTATAAGGTCTCTTATAAGGGCCTTATTAAGTGTTGGGAGGGTCAAATGCATTAAAATGTGTTAAGTGCTTAAAACACTACCTGGCAGATAGTAATGACTATATACATGTTTGCTATTACTACTGCTATCATTCTTATTATTCATCTAGCTAATTCTTACACATACCTCAAAATTCACCATGAATATCTTCTCCCCGGGAGCTCCTTCCTCAACCTCTCAGACAAAGTTATGTACCATTTCTCTGGGTTCCCAAAGTCCTCTCTCACCCTGTAGAATAGTTTGTTGCCTACCTCTATGCCTTCTCCCCTAAATCATAAGCTCATCGATGGCAAGTACTGTGCCCCATTCATTAGTACAAAATTATGCACAAAAAGAATGCCAATGAAAGTGTGCAGCTATGGTAGGCTGAATAATGGCCCCCTAAAGATGTCCACATTCTAATCCCTGGACATGTGAATATGTTATCTGTCTTAGCCTATTTGTGTTGCAGGTCTTTTCCTTAGTTCTGCTAAAGACAGCGCTCTTTGTCCCACAGCCATGAAAATTCAGGCTCACAGACTATTTGGATGGTGCGTAAGACAGGGTATTATTGGGTGAAATGGAAGAAAAGGGGAAACAGGGACTCTCACAAGCCCACAGTACCTGATAGAGCACTTCCCAACTGGCCATTCTAATCCCAGGACCCACACAGGAAGAGGAGGTGTCAGGTTCCTCCCTGCTGCAAATGTCATGAACTTCCCCAGGCGCCACCTCAGTTGACAGGCCGGATGGAGTTTCTCCATGCACCCCCCTCCCACCTGGCTGTCTCATTTGGGCTGCTATAACAAAACATCTTAAAATGGGTAATTTACAAACAACAGAAATGTATGGCTCACAGTTCTGGAGGCTGGAAAGTCCAAGATCAAAGCACCAGCAGATTTGATGTCTGGTGAGGATTTGCTATGT